CACTGTTGGAACATTTACATGATGAATGTATTTATGGGTTTCACTATTTTATATTTCGAGTTGTTAATAAATTAAACGATACATTATTTGTACAATTAAATGTACAAATAAATCAAGAAAAAAAAACGGGACAAAAAGGCCGAGACATGCACTGGTCTACGTGATCATGTTCAACTGCTTAAACTATTGCAAATTGGCAAGGCATATTCTTCTGAATGTTCATGCTAGGAATGCATTGTTGTTTAATGTTGTACCTTATGTAGTTTACTCTTTAATAAGAAGTATATTACGAGTAGAAAATATTTACGGAGTATAAAAGTACTTGCACGAAATTAAGGACCTTGGACCTCGGTATATATCTTTTGAACTGAAAAACATGCATATTGGAAATGCGTCACTTAAATAACTCTATTTTCTATGAATAATGACACGTTCATTTGTGAAATATGACTAAATAGGCAGAAATACATAATGTTAGAGAGTTGCTATAGTAATCACAAAAACAAAAGTTGTACTTGTTAAATTGGCCTTGTTTGAACAACAACAACAACAAAAAAAAAAAGAAAAAAAAAGAGTTGATCTTATGTGTTTATCAATAGCCTTACCATGTAACCTTATCGTTCTAGTCATGTGTCAAAAAAACATATGCGGACACTGTACCCCTAGCAGACTGTTTCTAACAATCACCCACCTCTTAATTTGAACATTATTGTACTCTCTTCGTCGCATTTGGTGATTTTATACGGTTAATAAGAATATTAAAATATAGTGGAAAACAATGATTATAGGGGTGTTAATCGGGCGAGTTGATCACGAGTTAAGGGGTGCTCGACTCGACTCGGTAATCTTTTTCATGTGCTCAACTCATGCTCGTTAAAGTAACTCACGATTTGCTCGTTAAAGTTTTGGCCCTTCTAAAATTCTAGACCTTTAGTGTTTTTGTTCACTTTATATAGTTTTCTTTTATTTCTTTTATTTATTATTAAAGATTTACTCATTTTTTTATATAATATAAATGAACTCTTTTTTTAAGTGTATGTCAAATTTGTTCATGGTTTGTTTGTAAATTCTATATTAATAAAATACATTGTCGAGTTGCTCACGAGTTTATCGAGTCGAGTTGGAGCTTGCTCAACTCGTGCTCGTTAACATCTAGAGTCGAGTTGAGTTAACTCAAGCTGAGTTTTGACTGAGTCGAGTCTGAGTTACTCACGAGCTGCTCAACTCGATTAGCACCCCTAAATGATTAGATCGATGTCACATATATTAAGTATCAAAACATTAACTAAAAAATAAATATCTTTGGAAATAAGAATAACTGTATTGGGAGTATGTAAATAATTTGAAAAATGGGGATAGTTGCATGGACATATGTATGTATGTATGAGGAAATTAAATTGTGTAAGAAAATAATTATTTTCATCTAAGAAAAATTGAAATGTAATAACTATTAAAAGCGTAAACGCATAAAATGACAAATGTAACCCTCTTGTAGGATGTATGTATGCCATGGAAGAAGTAGCAATCGCTTAATTATTACAGGCAAGTATCACAAAGAACTAATTAGGGCACTCAACCCATGTACATATATGTGGTATTGTGGTAAAACAAGTTTAGCTAGACACATGCTATTCAAATGTGGACCATACAAAAATGCTCAATATTTTTGGGGTAATATATAGAATTATAGAGAGTATTTAAAATAAAAACCTTTACATCATAGAGCACAAAACACTCTCAAAATGGCTTATCAAAGTCTTCTCTGTTCTTTCAATCTTGCAAGATATATTATTAATTTATTATGATTTACTTCCTTTGTTTCTATTTAGTTGACACATTCAATTTAGGCACACATATTAAGGAGAGGAGAGAGAGTGAGAGAGAATGATAAAGCAAGTGGGGTACACTTAAAAAGCAAGGTATAAAACTTACCCAAAAAGAAAATGTGTCAATTAAAAAAAAAAACTTTCTAAAAAAAATACGTGTCAACTAATAAAAAACGGAGATAAGTATATATCACTATCCCCATCATTGAACCTAACTCTCCTTAGATAACAAGAGTAAGGGCCCGTTCTCTTCCGTTGAAATTCAGTTCAGTTCAGTTCAGTTCAGCTCTTAATTTATGTCTAATGATATTGCTAATGATATAAAGTCAAATTTCATTCTTTTAAGCTCTTATTACAACGACAACAGCAACAACAACAACAACAACAACAACAACAACAACAACAACAACAACAACAACAATAATAATAATAATAATAATAATAATAATAATATTAAAAATATAATAATAATAATAATAACAATAATAATAATAATAATAATAATAATCTATAAATAATAATAATAATAATAATAATAACAATAATAATTGAAATAATAATACTAATAATAATAATCAATAAATAATAATAATAATAATCAATAAATTAATAATAATAACAACAATAATAATACTAATAATAATAATCAATAAATAATAATAATAATAATAATAATAATAATAATCATCAATAATTAATAATAATAATAATAATAATAATAATAATAAATATTCTTTTTAAAAATTTGTTTAAATGGGTTAGATACATGTAAGTGTTTTGTGTTCTTTTGTCATAATACTATTTTATTTTTAAATTAAATAGTATGTGTGTTTAAAATGTTTAGAGGTTTCAAGTTTTTAATATATTTTCCATACATATTATAATTATATAGTATATTTTTCGAAAATATTTTAATATGTACATTTGTATATACACATATGTATAGTAATAAATAATCAATAAATAATCAAAGATTACTAATCCGTAGTTAAAAATCACTAATTAATAAGTTCAGTTCAGTTCAGTTCAGTTCAATTCAGTTCAGCTGAGTTCAGTCAATCGGAACAGGCCCTAACCAATGAAATAAAGAGTATGCCACAACAAAACTAATGTAGGAGGAAGTAAAATTGGACGGTTGTGAGACAAATGCAAATGTCTCACAATAATTAAAATAACATAAAAGTAAAAAGAAGAGAGAGATAGGAAGAGTGAAAAAGGTGGTGTGGGCCCCACTAAAACTTTTCAGAAATGGTTTCACGTGTAAAAACGATTAAAAAAAAATTAGGACCATATCTACTGAGAGTATACTTTGTACCACAGAGGATTTTTACATGTACCACTAAAACTGCATTGAGTACCACTGGGAGTGTATTTTGTACCACTGAACTGTAATGGCATTATTTGACAGCCTAATTAGACATTTGAGCCTTTTTTTAAAATACCACTAAAATTATATTTTGTACCACTGAGATTGTATTTTGTACCACTGAATCTATAATGGCAAAATTTAAATCCCGCATAAAATGACCAATTTACCCCTGCGAGACACTTCTAAATCTCTCTCAACCCTCCGTTTATATAACCTCCTAGTATTTCAATTTGAAATACCATCGGAATAACAATGAATTTTCTTGATCTATAATTCATCCAATTGGAACAAGCTAAAAAAAAAGCTAAGACCATTGTTATAACTTCTCGAATAATTTTTTTCCTATACATTAATCAAATTAGATATTAATAAAGATAAAAAGTACGTGGTTTTATAGTTTCCATGTATATGGATACTTATACACTAACATATTAAATGAGATTAGATCTCATATTCGATGACATCCACATCACTCTTGTCATATTGTAGTTCTCTTTTCCTTTCTTCCATATATACTTCCCCCGTTTCTTTATAATAGCAGCACTTCTCTAAAACGAAAATGTCACCATATATAGTTGTAATACACTATATATTAAAAAAATGTTTTTATGGTGAAAATTATATTATTACCTTTATTTAAAACTTATGTCCCTTTTGATTATACTTCTAATAACCTTTTAACCCCATTATAAGTGTATTATGTCATGCAAGCTCGACCACTTTTCTTGAATAACGTGATAAAGTGTGTTAGAAGTATTAGCTAGGAGAGGCAAGGGTTCTGCCGTCATATGTTTGTATGTTATAGTTAGACCATTGTTTCATAATCATCACTACCAAAACAATTGTTTATCATTCTAATTAACCCATCAATTACCAACATCAATATCACATCATCATGCATATACTATCACCATCCCCACTATTTGGACATTTCTTTATGTTCAAACCTAACGAAGGTTGTGTTTGGTAGGGTAAGAAAAATTGTTAATTTGATGTAATATTAATGGTAGGCCCTTAAATAATTAGCTAGACAGCAATTCAGCAAATAAGAGAGCTACTTTGATATCAACTTTTTAATGACAATATTTGGTAGCAATATATATATAGGAATGATTCACATTTGAATAATCATGCTAAAGGAAATAATAATAAAACACTAAATTAGCTTCTTGCATTTCTTTGTTGTGATGTAATCAATTTTAGGGTGGTAGTTTATAATTGTATAAATTCAACCATTTTTATTTTGGCTTGTCATGGAATGTGACAAAGGTTTACACTTACTGGTCTATCATAATCCTCCTCCTTTATTCAGGATTGGGACTGACAACGGAAAATTCACTGCAGAATTATTTTCAAACATTAATATTTAATATATTTGCTTTAATTATCAATACTTTAAAATCATAAAAATTCGAAATTTTGAACATATACATTAAGAAAAGGTATCTTTATCACATACAAGTATATGACTCTTTGTTCTTGTTCAAAAAAAAAAAGGGTATTTGACTCTTTGTTTCTGTATATAATAAATCTTTAAAAGTGATAATTATAAACAATATTTAAACATTGGAAAATTAAATAGAAGAATTACCACCAAGTAATAATAATGGAAAGTCATTCATTAATTGATCGAGGACACAAATATACTCCATTACTCACTTCATCCAATGTCTAGTTGTCTACTCACAGTTTGGTCATTGCTGATTGGCTCTTACCTAATCAAGGCACTAAACCACAATTATGGTTACCATTTTTTCTATAATTTGTTACAAGACAAACTTTTAATAAAACCGGGTTTTCACTAATTTACTGAAAATCACAACAATGAAGTGCAAATTGGGCTGCCCAATTTGGGCTCACACGTGTAAATGTAAAAAGAATAAAAAAATTTCTTATTTTCTCTTTCATCTTCATTTTGTTTCTCTTTCCTGTTTCTCTTTCTCTGATTTTTTTCTCTCTCCTCTACTTCTCTTCTTCTCTTGCTTTTGGCGATATTCTCAATTGGTACTTGAATTTCTCTCTTTTCGATCTTTAATTTCTTCACTTTGAAGTTGATTGTTGCTAATTTCAGGTTTGTTTACTCAATTTTATTTCATTTTATTCAATTTTGAAGTGTTTCGATTTTTAGGGTTTCGTTGTTTTGGATTTTTGTAGTTTTTGCAATGGTGAAGAAGAAGGTTTCTAGTGATGATAATGTTGCTCTAGGTTAGTGTTTGTTCTCATTTTCGCAATTTTTTTTTATACAATTTGTGCTATGTTTGTTTAGTTGTGCGTTTTAATCACTTGCTTTTGCTTAGATTAGGTTTGTTTTGAGAATTGCCTGCTAGGTGTTTGTAAAAATGTCCAAATGAAAAATTGCATGTTCATAGTAGTACAATTGATGAATGCATTTTGTGTATGAATTTTAGGTTTTTTGCTACTATTTTCGTTTACGGTTTGATATAAATTAAATGATGCATTTGATTTTAGTGTGGCAAACATGGTGGATATGTTTATCTTTTTGTGTTGCCTGTATATATTTGGTACAATCTTACATCTTAACCAAATGAAGCTGCCATTCTCTACCATTCTTGTCAAATTTTGTCAAAATTTCTGTTGTGATGTTTTTTTTTAAATTAATTGGTAGGATCTATCAAAGGTTTTCGTTATAGTAGAGCTCAGAAAGCAGTAAATAAAATGAATGCAGGAGGAAAAAAGATGTTGAAAGGTGAAGGAAGTACATCCAAGGGAAATAAAAGGAAGAGGCATGAAAAAGAGGATGACGAGTAAGATTTTATGTTTTAGAATGTTGTATATTTGCTATACTTTTGTGAATGGAATTGTGACTTTTGTAAGAGTATAGGTAACTTTGATTAATAGGACTGTTTTTATGTGATTTTTGTGTCAATATATTAAGTGTTACTTTTGTGAGTATATCTTTCACTTTTGTATGTATCAATGTCACTTTTGTGAGTGCAAGTATCATTTTGTGAAAATTTTGATAGTAATCACTTTTTTTAGTATTATATCCATTTAATGAGTGTCATGACTCTCATGAGTATCATTTTTTGTGATTATGATTGTCACTTTTGTGAGAATAAGTATAAAAATTTGTATAAATGTTCATAATTCATGTTTAATTTTATATGATAATTAAAATTTCAGTATATAAGTATGTTATTATCATTTTTGAATGGTAAGCATCTTTTTTTTTGTTTTTTCAGGCCTGATAGGAAAATTACATGTCATTGTAGACCTTCTTCATTAGTTAAGATTATAAGTGGGCTTTCTCCGACTCAAAAAAAACATGTAGAAGAGGTTGGATTTGGTGGTTTGTTGTCTTTACGTGTGGAGAGTATGGTTGGAGGTATACTTCCTTGGCTTGTTGAGAGTTTTAATGGATATACTTGTAGGTTTTGTGTAGCTGATGGTAAGGAGTTTGTTGTGACTAAGGATGATGTGTGTGATGTTTTTGGTTTGCCTAAGGTAGAAGGTCGTGAGGTTCCTGAAATGAAGGGTAGTTACAAAGGTCAATCTCAAGATGATAGTACATTGAAAAATAAATGGAGAGCTTCTTTTGATGTTGGTGTTAAGGAGTTGATACCTTTGGCTAGATTAGAAACTAGGATCAAGGAGTTGGTGGATGGAGGTGATGAATTTAAGAGGTTATTTGTTATGCATGCTCTTAGTAGTATGCTTGTTCCTACCGCTAATAGGACTGTTAATTTTAGGTTAGTTAATGCTGTGGATGATGTTGATCAGATTAAATCTTGATTGGTGTTTATTTGTTTTGAGAAAGTTGATGAATTCTATTGTTAGTTACAAAAATTCTGAGGCTAAAGATAGTATTAGTGGATGTTTGTTGTTGCTTAAGATTATGTATTTTCATCGTTTGAATTTCCAAGGTGTAATAGAGAACTCCACTATTCCTCTTATCCAACACTGGACAGATAAAAAAGTGAGAAACAGGGTGTCCTTGGAGTTGAAGGCTGCTGGATTTGGTCAGGGGGTTTTGAATGAATTGACTTATCCAGTTTCTGCTAAGCGTGTTGATTCGAATGTTAACAACTTAAGTAAGGGTGAAGTTGGTGCGGTTCCTATTGATGATGATAGAAGATGTGTGACTTTCGATTTTCCTGAAGGAGTATTAACTGATTCTGAGATCAAAAGTGTTGCAACTGATGTATGTTTCTTTTTTTTTTTTTTAATAAAACATTTTTTCTATTCTGATACAATTGTTTGTTAATGTGTAGGATTTGCATGAGGCGTTTCTTTTTATGAAAAGGAACATGGAGTTGTTTTCATATGTGAATTCCAATTGTTTTAGTACTTTGAAACGGTTGGTGCATAGTCGTTTTGTTGAACATTCTGTTTCTTTGGATGCTGATTCTATTGAGTTGTCTCAAACACAACAACTTTTGTCTAACCTGTATTATCATAAGCTTATTGATGACTTAATTTATGAGTTTATAAAAATGAAGTCAGTGGATGAGTTATTTAAAGTTGATGCAAGTACTTCATCAAAGTCTACCCTACAAGATGGTGGAGATGGTGGTGGTGGAGATGGTGGTGGCAGAGGTGGTTCAGTCATGAGAACGAATAAAAGTTTGTGTTCTTTGGACTGTGGTGAAATTGATGGTCAGAGTGTAGTGTTTGTTACGCCATTTATGAAAAGTAATTCTCGTGCTTTTAGTGAAAAATTACCTCGATTATATTTAGAAGCTCTTGATTATTGTCTGGTGGAACACTTATTTAATAATAAGTAAGTTCTTTTTTAATTGTCATATTTTTTGAAACTTTTTTTTCTTTTTCTTTTTGTTTTGATATTAATAATATTGTTTGACCTTGGAGTGAGAATCTTGTTACTTATGGATTGCATTTTCTCATTCCAAGAGAGGATATGGTGTCTTTGGTGCATCCTAATTTGGTTCGTTGGTCAGTAGTTGATTGCTACTGCATTTATCTAAATGAATCGTGTTTTTATGATACTTGTGGTCCTCAAAGATTCTTTTTTGGTGCGAGGCAAAGTGTAAGCAACTTTCTGTTTTGAGTTATTTGTTTTCTTACTCTTTTCATTTATTTATTTTTTCCTTTTAGTTTGCTTTTTTGCATGTATCAGAGGGGAACGAAGATAGTTCTGCTAGTTCTGTTGACTCGGATTTGCACAAAATTTGGGATGAATGGGTTACATATGAAAATTCTGGTTGTGATGTTATTGGTGCAGACTTGGTATATATCTTAATTTTTTATATATATTAACTATTTGATGGTTGTGCTTTATGCTTACTTTTGTTCTATTTTTTCAGGTTTATTTTCCTATTCTTGTTGATGAACATTATGTGCTGTTTGTGATTGATCATGGCAATGAATTGGTTCATTATGTTGATAATATCATTTGGAGTGATAAGATGATTACATATTTTCAAAATTTGACTTTTTATCTGGTATGTTATTGTCTGTTTTAAAGTATGTTTCTATTTTAATCTTATTTTTTTGTTGTTTTTAATATTCTGTTTTTTTTTCAGTGTTCTGAATTTGGTGATTTTCTTGCACGAAGAAATCATCCAAAGAGTGAAAAAGTCCCTTTTTACAAGTTCAAAATTGTTGATTTAGTGTGGCGGAAGAGTAAGGTTGATAATAATGAATGTGGTGTGTATATGATGTGCCATATAGAGCATTTTGTTGGTGATACATCGGTTTCTGTAGATGAACTTAGAAAAGTGAGTGATCTTGAAACTGATCTGAATTAATTCATTTGTTATTGTTTATGCTAATGTTTTATACATATTAATGCGCCTTTTATTTTCTTGTTGTGAGGCTGCTGGGAGGAAATTTTTACGTGCTAAGATTTGTGCGAAAGTCGTGTTGTCTGACATGAACGAATCAAGATCTGAAGTCTTAGCAGAAGTTGAAAAATTTAATGAGAAGAAGAGTGATCTTGCATATGTTGCTGAAATTGAAGGAAGGAGGAAGGCTGCAGCAGCGGAGAAGAAAAGGAAGAAATCTGAAACTGTTCCTCCTGCTGTTGACACTGCTCCGAAAGAAAAACGGACTACAAAGGCTACACGGAAGTACACTCCTTCTAAATTTTAGCTAATTTTGGAAGTTGTTATTAGTTAACTACTTTTGGAAGTTGTAATTAGTTAAGTACTTTTGGAAGTTGAAACTAGTAATAAATATTGACACTTAAACTAGTGTTAATATTTTCAAAATGTTTGTACAAATTTTATTTTATATATGTATATATATGATTAAATATTGGTAATCTATTGTTCTTATTTTTATTTATTTATATTTCTGATTATAATTTTATAAGTGTATCATATATCATCATACAGAAATATTGTTGATTTAAATGAAAAATTGAAGTTTATCATATATATTACCATTTTATTCATTTTAAAAACGGACACTTTTGTGATTATTATTGTCACTTTTGTGAATATAAATATCACTTTTGTGAGTGACATATTTCTTTAGTGAGTATGCAATACTTTTGTGAGTAAAAAGTATCACTTTTGTGAGCAGATGCATCACTTTTGTGAGTATTATTGTTACTTTTGCGAGTATTAGTGTTACTTTTCTGTAAATGCATCACTTTTGTAAGTGTTAGTGTCACTTTTGTTAGTAAATTCATCACTTTTGCCAGTATATGCATCACTTTTGCGAGTATATGCATTACTTTTTTAAGTATCAGTGTAATATTATATAAATGTTTATAATTCATGAGCAATTCCATATCAAAATTCAAAATTCTGTATGAAAGTCAATAGTAGCATTAAACAAAAATAAACTCACTACAAAAAAGTTTGCAATTGTGTTTCATCCAAACTCACTACAAAAAAGTTTGCAGTTGTGTTTCATCCAAACTCACTACAAGTTCAAAAAAGTCGCACAGTAGGTGTCTTCGATCCAAACTCTGAATTTGGATCTGGTAATGCTTTTTGCTTTGATTTCTTCCCTTTTTCAAGTGCTCCTTTTGCTCTCTTGCTTCTTCCCTTTGTTACAACTCTCTTAGGGTCTAATATAGTGGGTATGGTTGTACTTGTTGATGAAGAAGCAGTATTATTGTTACTCTGAGCACTCTATGCCACATTAGAATTGTCATCACTTGCAGCAACCTCCTCTGTAAAAGCATCATCCGCAAGTAAGTCTTCCACCATTTTCATACAACTTTTGAAGTTTTCCTCCATGAATGCTCTTGCCTTTTCATTTTCTTGACTCTTTAAGATTAAGTTATAATATTTTCTCATCATTGTATGTCTCCATGGTGTATATGGGAGTTTTGGATCCTTTTTTCCATTTTATTCCATACTTTAGACTTTGCAAGCTTTGTCCATCTTTTGCTAATGTACTTCTCTGGAATTCTTGTAATAGAATGTAGATGTAAAATTCTGAGGCAGTGATAGCATAGCCATCCAGAAGCTTCGAAATTCTTGCAAGTGCACCATATAGTTTGGCTCTCATGTATGTAACTTACCTGTTGGGAAGACCATGGCTTTTCTTCTAGAGATACTTCATAAAGAATAATGTTTTCTTCAGTTCTCCCTAGAATTTGTACTATAGTCGCCATTGAGTAGCCAAATTCCTCTTCAAAGTCTCTAAACAAAGACAATGGGTAAACCTGTACATTAGAGCAATAACTTACTACCAGTCATGTTCCTTTGCATGTATCATTTTTATATTTGCTTATATTGTTTGTTTTTAGTTCTTAGATATATGTAATAAAGGAATATAGAAGTACCTGTGCAACATGCTTTAGCATTCCAGATAGTGGCAATGAAGTAAAGGCTATTGATTTGCTGTAGATAAACTCATTATACTTCTCATCACTTCTCCATCTTTTTATGGTTCTTACAAAGATGCCATAGAATTCTGTCAGTGTTGTTGATTTATTAGCTCTGAATCCTACTGCATGGTTCGTACTTTCACTTCTTTGTGATGAAAGAATTCCTGCCGAGAAGAAATCTTTACTGAGTGCTGGACACCACTTTTCCTTTAGATTGTACACCCTTTGGTACCATGCATGATTAACCAAAATCAAATTTTTGTATCATTTCTTTCCATCTTTCTTCAATTTTTTTTTTGTCACACATCCCTTCAAACATTTGTTGAATATTTTTTTGAACTCATTATCCCTTTTAAGGGCTCCAAATCGTGTTATTTCATTTTGTTCTAAGTGCCATATGCATAGCCTATGCCTTGTGTCTGGAAATACCTGCATTCAGAATGTGATATGTCACTAAACTTGAACACTTATTCTCACAACAGTGATATTTTTACCCACAAAAGTAACATTTATACTCACATAAGTGATACTTATATTCATAAAAGTTATGAACACAAAAATGACTTAAAATGAGATTGGAATCAGTGAATATGATATTGAAATAGAAAAAGTAGTACCTGCTCAATTGCAATAGCCATAGCCTAGTCTTGGTCAGTGAATATGGAGGTTGGAACTCCATAGATTTTTTAAAGGTTTCAAGAAACCACACAAACGACTCTGTTTTTTCATTGCCTACGAATGCACATGCAAACATACAATTTTTCCAATGGTTATCTATTCCAACAAAAGGAGCACATATAAGGTTATACCGATTTGTTCTGTATGTTGTATCAAATACAAGAACATCTCCGTATATTTTGTAATCCTCTAACATCATTGCATATCTCCAAAAAATGTTGGAAATTCTACCTTCTTTGTCGAATTTCACTCTAAAATAGAAGTTAGGATCTTCTTTTTGTTCTTCGATCAGAATGTTCACTAATGTCTGAGCATCTCCAGCCTCTATTTGTTCCATTCTTAGTCTTGAGTAGAAATTGAGGTGATCTACAACACTATGCCCCAAGTTTTCTTCTCCATTAGCTTCTGTACACATGTAATTATATGTGTCCATTGTTGAAAGTCCAGCAGACTTCATTGTTTTAATTGCTTCTGCCTTTTCTATTGTTACTTCTCTCTCAGATCGATGCAAATAATGCCACTGCTTTCTTGTTAGTTCATGATTATGCTGTAACACATGTGACACCACCTTAAATTTTTCATCATCATTCATTTTTGCTCTTAGGCTTGCCTTACAGTTAGTTCTTGTAATGGAGACTTGTCGTGGTTTTCTTTGTTTTAAATCCTTGTTATCTTCATCAACCATTAGAACCATATTTGTCTTCTTTGCAGCAGTATGTCTTTTTCCTTCCGCAGAACACACATAGAATTTCTCTGTGACTATACGTGTGTGTAAGCGATACCTTATTGTATGCTTTCTTATTGAAAATCCCACTGTAGAAGCATGTAGACTGTACAAGTCATAAATTTCTTGATAAGTGTCTCTTTCCACTCTAAACAATGATCCTTCCATATCTAAACCAGTGGTATCTGTTGGTTTTGGATTTGTATATGTGCATTAGTAGAATAAGAGATATTTAGCATTTTCTAGTAACAATTGTAACCAAAATCACAATTACAGCATGAACAAAATCACAAGCAAGTACCTAGAGGCATGAGAACATGGGAGCATAGTGTTATATATATATAGGTTATCCACTTAAGCATATGCATAAAGAATAAGTTATTTAGTACAGGGGTATATAATACAAGTAACTTCTGTATTAATAAAGGTAACATTTGTAATGATATTAGTAACTTTTGTACCAAGAGACATGCATAAATGCTTTTATAAAAAAACATATAGTCAATGTAACTTTTGTCATAATATATGTAACTTTTGCCATAATATATGTCACATTTATAGAATTTTACCTTCGTCTTCATCTACTGGCTGTCCTTCTTCATCTAATGTGTTCGGAATAACTTGATCTTCATCTTCTAATGTATTTGAAACACCTTGATTTTCAATATCTGCATTAATTATTGAAAATTAAATCAAAAATTTAAGCAAAAACAAACAATAGGTTAGTATTTGTTTAGATTATTACCTTGTATTTGAATTTCTGGAACTTTTGAGTTTTGAATGTTATCATCATTAAACTGATTGAGATCATCAATGAAATTCTCTGCTTCACCTTCTCTGAATGTTTGATTGAGGTCGAAACTCCATGTTTTCTCTGGATGTTGCGTTAATGGTGGTTGATTTTCTCTTTGTAATTGCAGAAATTCGCGCATTAGGTTTTCGTAATTGGACGATTTGGAGGTTTCCGGCATTGTTGATCGAAAATTGTAGATTTCCCTCTCCTCCATGGTTGCTTGGTGAAGGAGCTTTGAATCTGGAAAATTGGAGTTTTCTCTCTCCTCCATTGTTGCTTGCTGAAGGAGATGTTCGTTATTTTGGAAAAAGGAAAAAAATAAAAAATAAAAAATAAAAACACTGTTCACATGTGCGAAAATCCGTTGTTCAGTATTTTCCAGCACACCGGTTGTATGTAAAACTTTTTGTTGTTACAAAGTATAAGAGTATTTTCCTTTTTTTTTCTTCCAAAAAATAACTAAACAGTAAACATATATTTGTAACTTGTAATAAGTACCCAGTCCAATATTTTCACCATCTGATCTTATTTAAACTTCAACTCACAAAAATGTAAAAGAAAAAGTTCGTTCATGTTATGAGTGAGCTCCGGTACCGTAAATCCTTGAGGGTTGGTAAAGGTTTACCGTCCAATTAAACTCCTGCACAGTCAACACAAATCAGCTATCCCGGGGATTTATCCGGGGATAACCGCTCCGATGCTAAAGTTAGCAATTTGATGAGAAGAATAAATGAGAAGGTAAGAAACTATTGAGAGAGAGAGAGAGAGAGATTCTACCTTATAATAAAAATATGCTTGGCTATTTATAGGATGATAACCAAGTTGGTGCCACCTATCAGTATAGATGGCAGACTGGCCTTGTAGACAGCAGGTGCCTACGTGGCATGAAGCAGCTTTCCACTTGGTCGAGAAAAAGGCCGACATGGGTGTTAAGGCGACATGCTATTTAATTAACAAATGATTAGCTGCATACTGTAACCTAGAGACTGATCCTTAACGGTGTTGGCACTATCTTGTACAGTTCAGTTGTTCTACATGACTGTAATTGTCTTTGGAACTCAGGAAAAGTTCAAATAAAAAGGTCCATTAAGTTATACTTGTATATGTAAATATGTAATTGTTAATATGAAAATCATACAAATATATTATGATTTTACTTGCATTTTTTTTTTCTTTTGACAAAATATATAATCACTCAATTACTCCATCCGTGTAATCACATAAATTTATTACCTCGCAAATTTCTTATGTAAAATAATAATTGCCAATTTCTTAACTGAAGTGTGTCAATTAATTTATTTATCTATGAATTATTATGATCTATATGAATGTAAATTACCCTCATGCGTGACATGCAATGTAAAGGTTAAAAAAATTACCTATACACAAAAGAATCATATTATTAGTGGAGTGTACATATATCAACATAATCCCACTTATGTCTCGCCTCCAAAATGTCATGTGCCTTATATAGTTGGTTAGTTACATAACTTATACGAATTATATACTTGTATAGTCGTACTTATCAAATTATGAATATTGTTATGTCAAGCTAAAGGACAATGACAAGTAATTTCTCCATTTCAGGCCCTATTCTTTTTTATTTCAATTTTTAATGTTTTAATCTTAGTTTCACTTAATTAAATCATGTAGTTTTAGAAGTATTACGCACAAATAATTCTCTTGTTGGTTTTTGGAGTGTTTCTTAGAGCAATTTTCATAAAAATTGCTCCCCTACTATATATTTTTTTAACATAAAAAGTAGCATGGATTACTTGGGCAAAGCCCTTAACATTACATCCTAATGTCCAAGGATTTGATCAAATCCAAAATACAAATCATGGACTAGTATGACATAATAATACCACAAAAATATAGAAATTGTTTTAACATATTATAAGTACTTGGGAATAAAAAGCAACTCCATAAAAAGCTAAGGCTGAGGAGGTAAAGCCGCACGATCCATTTCATATGCAGCTAGGACACTAGTTGGGACAGTGTAATACGGAACATGACCTCTGTGCATCCTCATAGCTAGCTGACTCATATAGTGAGCTGCAGAATTCCTCTCCCTAGGAATATGACTAAGGATAACGTCATATCCTTGTTCCTTAGGGACCTGCGAATATCAATTATGACAGCTCCCAGTTCATGATGCATATTCTTAGACTCCTTGTTGAATAATGATCTAATAGCTTCAGCATCTGTTTCCACTTCAAGGTACCGCACTGGGAAAGATCGAGCAAAGTTAAGACCCTCTCTCAAAGCATAAAGTTCAGCCCGTAGAGCAAATTTGGCAAAATAACAATCTCCTTTCTCAATCCTGAAAACACCACCACCTCCTGATCCTTCTTCTTCTGCATGCTTCTAAGCCCCATTTGTGTTGAGCTTGAGAAATCCTGCTTTCGGTGGTATTCATGAAATTGACCTGTCAAAAAGGGGACCTACTGCACAAAACAATTTCTCCTTCCCTTTACCCTGTAACACAAAGGTATTGATTTGATAATCAATTATGAACCTGTTAAACACAGAGTTACAGTTGTAATTCTCATTGTTAAAGGTGACACCATTCCTTAACTTCCAAATTTGCCACATTGCCATCAAGAAAATACTTTTCCCTTTAGGAGTCGGATCGGAGTGAAGTTGAATTTCAACCAAGTATTCCAAGTGATAGATATTATATTTAGGATAATATTTGTCACAAGTATAGGATATTTTTAATGTACATTTTGTATGTTTATCGTATCTAGGATTCCTTATCCTAGCGTTGTAAACTCTATATATTTGATCAATGGTACACACTCCAGATTGAGGAGTTTTCCCGAAACCCAACATGGTATCACAGCTTAGGTTTTAGATCTCAATTTTTTATTTTTCCAATTTATTGGTTTTTTTGTTTAATTGGGACCTTGCTCACCTCACGTTTTTCTGCAATTTTCCTACCTTTGTTCTCTGTTTTTCTCACAAGATTTCGGCCTCAAGTTTTATTCACCTTACTTGTTCTCTGCTACATTCCATCAGCTATGGCAAAGGATGATGAATCGTCCCCTCCGCCTCCATCCAATGAGTTTCATCCCGCACTCACCGTAACAAATATCAAGAATGCAATCCCCCTTATTCTAGACTATGAAAAAGTCCAATATGCAAATTGGGTGGAACTTTTTGAAAATCATATGGTGGCATATAATGTATTAGATCACATTGATCCCAAGACACCTCGTCCCTCCGATATTTCCGATGCCTTATGGAACCGGTTGGATGCCATTGTCAAACAATGGATATACGGCACCATCTCTTCGGACCTTCTTCAAACAATATTGACGAGAAAATCTACTGCTCGGCAGACTTGGGATCGTCTCGCGGACATCTTCCAAGACAACAAGAGCACGAGGGCAGTGTTTCTTGAAACCCAATTGAATGCACTCCACCTGGATTCATTCCCGAATGTCACCGCCTACTGCCAGCAACTTAAGAGCATAGCCGATCAGCTTTCGAATGTCGATCAACCAATTTCTGACCAAAAATTGGTGCTCCGTATGGTTGCCGGCCTAAATAAAACCGACTATGATACGGTTGCAACGATGATTGCACAGTCCGACCCTTTGCCTACCTTCAATAATGCTCGTTCACGCCTTCTCCTTGAAGAAACTCGGCGCAACAACGACACCAATCCTCCTCCTACGGCCTTTGTCGCACAACAAAAACAAAGCATCGCCTCCGACTAAGCTCAACAGCAGCAGCCGGCGACCGACGGTGGGCGCGGCGGCGGTGCAGGTCGCGGCCGAGGCGGCGGTAAGGGATGACGGGGGAAAGGACGGGGACAAGCCCGTGGAGGCCAAAGTCGAGGAGCCTAGCCGCAACATCAAACCTCGACTCTTGCTTCTCAACAGCAACCAACCGGCCCAAATGGCCAACAATTGGCCCAACAGCCCACTTGGATCCCTCAACAGTACGCCTGGCCTCAATGGGCTGTACCCCCTGCCCCTTTCCCAACTATGGGCCAGTTCCAGCAGAGGCCCAGTAACTCCAACCAGCAGGCCTACTACATTGGCGCCCCCTTGTATGGTCCGCCCATGTCACCTACGGAGCTTGGCAGTGCCTATTCCTCACCAGGGCTCTCTACACCGGATAACGGGTGGTATATGGATTCAGGAGCCACCTCTCACATGACTCACAATTCCGGTAATCTTCTCCCCATGTTTAATGTAAGCACTAATAATCATATTTTAGTTGGTAATGGTCATCGCATTCTAATAACTGGTTATGGGCATACTTCATTCCCGAACAAACTAACCCTTAAAAATGTCCTCCTCGTCCCTCAAATTATTATTAAACCTTATTTCAGTTCGTAAGTTTAACTCTAATAATTCGGTTT